CAGTCACACTCCAAACTCCACTATGGCCAAGACCAAAGAGCTGTCAATGGACACCAGAAACAAAATTGTAGACCTGCACCAGGCTGGGAAGACTGAATCTGCAATAGGTAAGCAGCTTGGTTTGAAGAAATCAACTGTGGGAGCAATTATTAGGAAATGGAAGACATACAAGACCACTGATAATCTCCCTCGATCTGGGGCTCCACGCAAGATCTCACCCCGTGGGGTCAAAATGATCACAAGAACGGTGAGCAAAAATCCCAGAACCACACGGGGGGACCTAGTGAATGACCTGCAGAGAGCTGGGACCAAAGCAACAAAGCCTACCATCAGTAACACACTACGCCGCCAGGGACTCAAATGCCAGACGTGTCCCCCTGCTTAAGCCAGTACATGTCCAGGCCCGTCTGAAGTTTGCTAGAGTGCATTTGGATGATCCAGAAGAGGATTGGGAGAATGTCATATGGTCAGATGAAACCAAAATAGAACTTTTTGGTAAAAACTCAACTCGTCGTGTTTGGAGGACAAAGAATGCTGAGTTGCATCCAAAGAACACCATACCTACTGTGAAGCATGGGGGTGGAAACATCATGCTTTGGGGCTGTTTTTCTGCAAAGGGACCAGGACGACTGATCTGTGTAAAGGAAAGGATGAATGGGGCCATGTATCGTGAGATTTTGAGTGAAAACCTCCTTCCATCAGCAAGGGCATTGAAGATGAAACGTGGCTGGGTCTTTCAGCATGACAATGATCCCAAACACACCGCCCGGGCAACGAAGGAGTGGCTTCGTAAGAAGCATTTCAAGGTCCTGGAGTGGCCTAGCCAGTCTCCAGATCTCAACCCCATAGAAAATCTTTGGAGGGAGTTGAAAGTCCGTGTTGCCCAGCGACAGCCCCAAAACATTACTGCTCTAGAGGAGATCTGCATGGAGGAATGGGCCAAAATACCAGCAACAGTGTGTGAAAACCTTGTGAAGACTTACAGAAAACGTTTGACCTGTGTCATTGCCAACAAAGGGTATATAACAAAGTATTGAGAAACTTTTGTTATTGACCAAATACTTATTTTCCACCATAATTTGCAAATCAATTCATAAAAAATCCTACAATGTGATTTTCTGGATTTTTTTTTCTCATTTTGTCTGTCATAGTTGACGTGTACCTATGATGAAAATTACAGACCTCTCTCATCTTTTTAAGTGGGAGAACTTGCACAATTGGTGGCTGACTAAATACTTTTTTTCCCCACTGTATATATTTTTTTTACAGGACTGATGGCGTGCATCTGATGGTCAGTCTGAGGGAGGGAGAGATCAGCGGTGAGGCTGCCTCTCACCTGACTCACCGTCCCTCCGCTCTCCCTCCCTCCGCTGAGAAAAGAGGACACAGTCCAGCTGATGGCGAATCTCATGTCGCACTGCATTATTTCTGCCTCTTGCACCAATTCATGTTGGTACTCCTATGACCAGAGAAAGTGAAATATTTCTTGATATTAAAAAAGACAAGCCGCTAATAATAACAACGCACGTTTATCAGAACACTTTCATATTCTCATTCATTGCAGCTGCGGTGCTGGTTGTAGCGTGAGCATGCACATTTTATGGCTTATAAAAGTGTTGACAGTGCTCAATAACTTAAACATTAACTTACTCATGAAATCGGCAGCTCTTTGCTGTATTTGTTGAGTCTCTCTCTAGTAATGGCTTTAAAAAAATTTGAATTCTCACAGTATCAACTTTGATGTATGTTCCAGGTTTCTTTTTACTGTCGATGGCTTGAGGAAACTGTGCAGACACGGTGATCTGAGCTATCTGATTGGCCAGCGGTAGTGAGAGACGGTTCGAGTCACGCCTTTGATTTTAAGGAAATATTCATCCCATTGAAATAGAAATCCACATTTGGGTCAGGAAATGCATTTTCAGAGCTTACCACATCCATAAAGGAGAGAACGTAGCTACAAAATGTTATCTGCTTTTTGCAGCTGAAAAGCATACACTCTGACGTTGACTTGCACTGCTACACTGAACATAGAAAGGGGAGGAATTGGTTGGTAAATTGGCAACATTTAATTTGCAATTTGCTAGCTACATATGTTAACATGTTGAGTAAGTCTCTACAACACACACACTGCTGACAGCCTATTACATTACACACATCCACTGTGTCCTACTAAAGCTCGATACCTGTTGTCATTTACATAAACAATTATATATTTTCATGTAGACATACTCATATGGAGTCAATGACTAAGATGAGGTACCAGAATCAACTGTAAGTCAATTGTTACCATCTATTTCCTTGCCAAGCACCATTATGTTGGATCTTTCCCAGCTAGCAGGCAAAACTGGTTGAAATAACGTCATTACAACATTACACTTTTGTCCGCTGGATTGTTGCTGTGTTCAGAAGAGTTCAATTTACCATCCTCTGACATTCACAGATGCTCTTAACCATAGCGTCTAACAGACCTAAAAGTTTCATAGGGTCAGAGTGAAGGAGTAGGAGGATGTTGTTACCGTACCAACATCAATTGGTCCATTTCTTCGAAAGATGTTGTTTACTTTCAAAGGTGTTGTTTACTTTCCATAATTTCCATGGGTAAACCATGCCATTTGGTATCCATTTTGCGCTTACCTTTTTACATTCAGCAGAAATATGTTTCCACAGTCCTTTTAGTGAGCGGCCCATTGTGAACTCTGAGATGTGAAATACGGCTGTATAATCACACCAACACAGTTGTTAAATATGAACAGCTTTCTAATAGACAGAAAGGTGTCATATTCTTATGTCATCCGCAGCTCCTCTTTTGTAGTTCCTTTCATTGTGTTCCCAAACACTCTCCTCCATCTAATATAGCCTAATTATCCTCCTCTCAGAGTATCACTGCTCTCTTTTAGGGTCCTCTTTCTCATTTTTTCTCTCTTTCTCTGTCCGACATCACACAGAATCAGTAACTTCCAGTAGAAAGACAGAATAGATGTATTTAATACAGTGGATGTGTTTTTTAAGAGCCAATGTCAAACAAGTAAGTTAGTACAAAGGCGGATTCTATAGTAATTTTTCCACTATTCTCTATACAGCTCTGAGCTCGGCTAAAACATTTAATTAAAGAGACCAGAATCATTATCTTGTTAGATTAAACAATTTTCTCTTTCTGCTTTTTCCTTCTTTGTTGCTTTGCACAAGATCCTGATATGATTTGAAAAAGAGATACAAAAAACAGAAAGCTATCCTTGTCTTTCAGTGTTGGGGAGTAGTGAACTACATGTAGTTCAACTAGTAATGTAACTACATTTTGCAGTAGCTTAATGGTCGTTGAACTAAATTGAAATCTAGGTAGTGTTTTCAGTAGTTAATTACTTTTTTGACATGTAGCGGTGTAGCTAACTACTGGAACTACACACTACTCTTTTTGAAAAAAATTAATAAAATATGTGTAAATTAGGCAATAATTTCCTTTCTTTTTCGGAATCAGACCTGCCTAATTCTCACTTGAAACATTGTTTTTGTGTTTAATAGGCTAAATTACACATTCTATTAACATATGGCCCAATTTGTAGTCTATGACATTTCAGATTTACATATGATAATTTTTCATGAACTAGTTTAGATGTAGTGAACTACTTTTTCAAAGTAATTTTATTGAAGTAAAATATATATAGGGTAGCTTTAATGTAGCTTAACTTCTTCCAGTGTGAAGTAATTGGTAGCTTGGTAAACTATATTTTCAGAGTAGCTTCCCCAACACTGTTGTCTAACTTGTCTTCAGTAGTGTTTTTGCTAATCTGCAGTCATTATAGAATTCTAGATTGGCTTTACCAGACAGGCCCTTTGCTGAGGTAGCTGGAGCCTAACTTCACAGCGAAGCTCTATTCTGTGTTAGTTAAACTTGACCCGTCACAGAAAATCATTATACTACAGAAGCTTTTGTCCAACCCTATGGTGAAACTCTTTCTTCTTCTTTCTTCGTCAAGCCCAACAAAAACAACAAGAACAACACTTAAAAGCCAGTCATACCCCAGCGGCAAATAGGCCGGCTTCACTCAGAAAGATCAAACCTTCTAGAGTTACCTCTAGAGCTTCAGGAAGTAAGACTTGGAGGCCGTTATAAAGCAGAGTGGATTACCTTTTAATTTTGCAGTGTTTGACGTGTGCGTGTTTGTGTGCATGTGTATGTGTGTGTGCGTGCATGTTTAACTTTCGGCCAGTTAGCCTCCTGCGTCTGTGTGTTATCCTGAAAGAGAGGCGGTTAGCACTCCACACTTCTCTCAGTTCCTGTTTGTGTGCTCTACTCATCATTCCACCAGTTGACATTTACACTTCATTCACATTCACATAAATGTTCAATGCTTGTTTTACCTGCCCCTCTGGTGCACTTTATACTTCCTTAATCTCGCTCTCTGTTTCTATAAAGGTCAGATTCGTACTGAATATGTGTATAAAATCTTGGACTTTGACCTGCATGGTCAGTAGTCAATTTGATTGACTGCCCAGTTGACACCTTTTAGTTCCTTGAACATTTATTCTTAAAGGTTAGCAATAACATTCCTGATTCCTCTAATGACTTGCCCAGTTTTCTTGGTGTCCCCACCCTCTGCGTGGTCGGTAATAACCGGATGCATCCGGTTTTCAGGGGAAATGGAAAGAGAACCTGTTACACGACTTCCGCTTTTGGACGTTAACAAGGTGAAACTCCATCTTAACTCCTCCTCCATATTTACTGGATTGGTTGAACAGTGCAGAAGAGAACCTCCCCCAACATTTATTTTTCTCATAAGCACCAGAAACAAAGAAATCCCGCTCAGGCTTTTCTTTTATGCCTGCTATGTTAGGTTAGGGTGTCGCAAGTGTGATCCTTTGAGAAACATTCGCTGAGAAAAACAGTCAAGTTTTAAAGTTTCCATTTGAAATTCCTTTAAATGTTTTTAACCCATTACACTGAAAATAACAGCCAGGGCAGATTATTTAATCTATAACTGTATAAATATTGGTTTAAAGCTACAGTCAACAATCTGATCTCCTCTTTTGCAGAGGAGCGGCCTGACTGTTCCAAGGCGCGGTGTGAGGTGCAGTTCTCACCCCGCTGCCCTGAGGACTCGGTGCTAATCGAAGGCTACGCACCCCCTGGAGAGTGCTGTCCCCTGCCCAGCCGCTGTGTCTGTAGCCCTGCAGGTTGCCTGAGGAAGGTGTGCCAGCCTGGATATCTCAACATCCTGGTGTCCAAGGGCACTGGGAAGCCTGGAGAATGCTGTGATCTATATGAGTGCAAGCCAGGTAGCTACAAATAACAATTCATCGCAACTATTTGTGACATGGCAACAATGTTTTCCGATTCTGATACTTAGCTCACTGTAGTAATAATAATATTTAATTTGTAGAATTTCCCAAACTCAATGCCCAAATTGTAGGCTACATATGAATGTGTTTACACTCATGAATGGCAGCTGTATCTGCCAGTGGTTTATCACCTCTGAGCTGTGGTGTGGCGTAATGTAGGCCATAGCCAACAGAAGCAATGGTTGCTAGGATAGGAATGTGCCGGTGCCGTGACCTCCCTGTTCAGGTCGGTTTTCTTAACACACACTACTCCCAATGTGCTCCTCTACAAGGGTTTTTACAATCAGGGTAATTGCCACAAACACTTACAAGGAGGAACATACAGTGGAGAAAAAAAGTATTTAGTCAGCCACCAATTGTGCAAGTTCTCCCACTTAAAAAGATGAGAGAGGCCTGTAATTTTCATCATAGGTACACGTCAACTATGACAGACAAATTGAGAATTTTTTTCTCCAGAAAATCACATTGTAGGATTTTTAATGAATTTATTTTCAAATTATGGTGGAAAATAAGTATTTGGTCACCTACAAACAAGCAAGATTTCTGGCTCTCACAGACCTGTAACTTCTTCTTTAAGAGGCTCCTCTGTCCTCCACTCGTTACCTGTATTAATGGCACCTGTTTGAACTTGTTATCAGTATAAAAGACACCTGTCCACAACCTCAAACAGTCACACTCCAAACTCCACTATGGCCAAGACCAAAGAGCTGTCAAAGGACACCAGAAACAAAATTGTAGACCTGCACCAGGCTGGGAAGACTGAATCTGCAATAGGTAAGCAGCTTGGTTTGAAGGAATCAACTGTGGGAGCAATTATTAGGAAATGGAAGACATACAAGACCACTGATAATCTCCCTCGATCTGGGGCTCCACGCAAGATCTCACCCCGTGGGGTCAAAATGATCACAAGAACGGTGAGCAAAAATCCCAGAACCACACGGGGGGACCTAGTGAATGACCTGCAGAGAGCTGGGACCAAAGCAACAAAGCCTACCATCAGTAACACACTACGCCGCCAGGGACTCAAATGCCAGACGTGTCCCCCTGCTTAAGCCAGTACATGTCCAGGCCCGTCTGAAGTTTGCTAGAGTGCATTTGGATGATCCAGAAGAGGATTGGGAGAATGTCATATGGTCAGATGAAACCAAAATAGAACTTTTAGGTAAAAACTCAACTCGTCGTGTTTGGAGGACAAAGAATGCTGAGTTGCATCCAAAGAACACCATACCTACTGTGAAGCATGGGGGTGGAAACATCATGCTTTGGGGCTGTTTTTCTGCAAAGGGACCAGGACGACTGATCTGTGTAAAGGAAAGGATGAATGGGGCCATGTATCGTGAGATTTTGAGTGAAAACCTCCTTCCATCAGCAAGGGCATTGAAGATGAAACGTGGCTGGGTCTTTCAGCATGACGATGATCCCAAACACACCGCCCGGGCAACGAAGGAGTGGCTTCGTAAGAAGCATTTCAAGGTCCTGGAGTGGCCTAGCCAGTCTCCAGATCTCAACCCCATAGAAAATCTTTGGAGGGAGTTGAAAGTCCGTGTTGCCCAGCGACAGCCCCAAAACATTACTGCTCTAGAGGAGATCTGCATGGAGGAATGGGCCAAAATACCAGCAACAGTGTGTGAAAACCTTGTGAAGACTTACAGAAAACGTTTGACCTGTGTCATTGCCAACAAAGGGTATATAACAAAGTATTGAGAAACTTTTGTTATTGACCAAATACTTATTTTCCACCATAATTTGCAAATCAATTCATTAAAAATCCTACAATGTGATTTTCTGGATTTTTTTTCCTCATTTTGTCTGTCATAGTTGACGTGTACCTATGATGAAAATTACAGACCTCTCTCATCTTTTTAAGTGGGAGAACTTGCACAATTGGGGGCTGACTAAATACTTTTTTTCCCCACTGTAGCTTCATAGCAAACATAGAAGGAGGAATATTATTTATATAAAACCACATACTTTATAGTTTACAGTTCTTTTCTTTATTGATTTGCTCTCAATCGAATTTGAGCCCACTGCTACCTCTATGATGATTGTCTTTGTGTTATACCCTACCTAGTGTTTAGTGTGGACTGCAGCACAGTGGAGTGTCCTCCTGTCCAGCAGGTTCAGTGTCCACCTGACAGCTATGAGACCCAGGTTCGTCTCACCGCAGACGGCTGCTGTACCCTTCCCACCAGGTGAGCCTCGACCTCCCTCTGAATGCAACAATCATCACACTCTCTTTGGCAGTCCTAAAAAGTAGTCAGGGTAAGTCAGGTGTGAGGGTGGTCCATCTGATGTGTACTAACTCTATGACTCCCCCTCTCTCCATCCCATCTCTAGGTGTGAGTGTTTGCCTGGCCTGTGTAGTTTCCCACAATGCACCGCCGGGAGCTCCCCCGAGGTGGTCTTCAACGGCGACGGTACCCCCGGGCGATGCTGTGATGTGTACGAATGCATCAACGGTGAGTTTGGCCCTTCTCGCGAACTCTGCTTGGCTCTGGCCTGAACCACACAGCTCCCATCTCACTGTTCCTGAGCTGTTATTAAGGAATGAGTGATACAGGATGGATGGCAAAGCCTTGTTTTCCTGCTTTCTGCTCCGGTTAATTTTAAAATAATATTGTACCCTGCCAGGCCAGCTGACGGGGGAGGTTAGGAGATATCACTAAGATGACATGAAAATATTTACAGTGAGCTCCAAAAGTATTGGGACAGTAACACATTTTTAGTTGTTTTGGCTCTGTACTCCAGCACATTTATACAATGATTATGAGGTTAAAGTGCAGATTGTCAGCTTTAATTTGAGGGTATTTTCATCCATATCGTGTGAACCGCTTAGAAATTACAGCACTTTTTGGACATAGTCCCCCCATTTTACGGGACCAAAAGTATTGGGACATATTCAAATAAAGTAGTAAAAAGTGTTTGGTCCCATATTCATAGCATGCAAGCGTGTGACTCTACAAATTGGTTAGATGCATTTGCTGTTTGTTTTGGTTGTGTTTCAGATTATTTTGTGCCCAATAGAAATGAATGGTAAATAATGTATTGTGTCATTTTGGAGTCACTTTTATTGTAAATAAGAATAGAATATTCTTCTAGATTAATGTGGATGCTACCATTATTACGGATAATCCTGAATGAATCGTGAATAATGATGAGTGAGAAAGTTACAGATGCACAAATATCACCCCCCCCCCCCTCCCAACAAAAAATGCTAACCTCATTTTACATTACATTTTAGTCATTTAGCAGACGCTCTTATCCAGAGCGACTTACAGTTAGTGAGTGCATACATTATTTTATTTTAATTTTTTTCATACTGGCCCCCCATGGGAAACGAACCCACAACCCTGGCGTTGCAAACGCCATGCTCTACCAACTGAGCTACATCCCTGCCGGCCATTCCCTCCGGCCATTCCCTCCCCTACCCTGGACGACGCTGGGCCAATTGTGCGCCGCCCCATGGGTCTCCCGGTCGTGGCCGGCTACGACAGAGCCTGGATTCTAACCAGGATCTCTAGTGGCACAGCTAGCACTGCGATGCAGTGCCTTAGACCACTGCGCCACAGAACCTCCCCTGTTATTGTAATGGTGAGAGGTTAGCATGTCTTGGGAGTATGATATTTGTGCACTTATTAATGATTCAGTTAAAAGTGCATGGTGCATTTTAAGAAACTAAAAGTCCATGGTAGCCACAATTCTTAATTAATTGCAGGGCTAAACTATCTCTAGAATAGTCCCTAGGTCTTCCTTAATGGTCCTGTTAATCAGGTGAATGGCCCCTGGCAAAAACAAGGCCCTGCGCCTATTGGTGGGGCACTTGAGTCAGCGCAGGTGACGTCCAAGGGGGAGGAGTTGGAACTGCGGGTTGAGGACATGGGTGCTGTCCCCCAGGTTGTTATAGGCCTTCCTCCTGACCTGCTGCTCAGAGAATGAAGCCAGTCTTCTGAGAGGCACCCCGGTGATCTTAGAGCAATGGCTTTGAGGCGGTTCTTGACAGAAAGGGATGTGAACCAGCATACGAAGGAGAAACACAGAACGCTCTCGATGAAAGAACTGTAAAAGGTTTGCAATATTGATTTGTGTACACTGTAGTATAGTATTCTAAAGTATACTACAGTTTACTACAGAATTCTATAGTAAGTACTGTAGTATTCTATAGTACATTGTAGTGTTTTTTCATGTGGGATTGTAAGCAGAAGAAGACAATTACCCCACCCTCAATGTGCTCTGTTTCATCAACCCAGCAGCTTTTTTGCCTTAGATTCTGCAGGTTGAAGAAGAGTGCAAATTAGTGAGGAGTAAGAGAGAGGTGGTTGAATGGGCAGAGGATACTTTTCAAATTAAAGCAAATTATGAATTATTTATGGAGCGGCGGAGAACTTTAAAGGGTGAGCCAGCCTTAAAATAATAATTTAAAGACCTTGCTTTTTTAAAAGGGAAATCTCTAGTATCTTAAAAAAACGAATACATTTGAAAGATTGTTCCTTGGCTCTGAGAGGAGGTCTAAGAGCCGTGACATATGTTGCAAATTACGTGCGAAAAGCGAATCTACTGTAGCGAGGAGGAGATTTTTTCCGTTGGTTGACGTTGGGGCGACAGGGGAGAGGGTGTGACAGGCAGCACTGAACTTCCCCTCTTAGCCCTACTAGCTAGAACAAGCATCTGTTGGCGATGTGCAGCCAGGAGCAATGGGTTCAGAGATCTGCCCTGGGAACAGCAAAACACTGAACAGAAATATAACCTGATTGAACATCTGGTTCTATGGTGGCTTTATCTGCCTGGATAGAGGGAATAGTAGGGAGGGAGAGAGGGAAGCAGGGAATGAGGGAGGGGGGAGATTATTTAATATTCTGTGGCTGAAGGGGGTGGAAAGGAAATGGGGAGTGAAGATGAACTGATCTGGGGATCAATAGATCAACAGCTGTTGAGCACACGTCACCCCTGCAACACACACACACACCCACACATAAACACACACACACTGCAACACTGCATCTCTGCTGTAATCCTACCTGACCCCTTCAGGGCTTGCCGTGACTCCCAGTAATTCACATACAGCGAATTAACGGCAAACGGCAAACACACAAAGACAACATGATAAACCCTGAGGGTGATGCTTAAGAGATACACAACCACTGCTTAGTAGGAGGGCTACAGATACAGAGGTATTTCTACACTGTTATTGATTGTGATAATTCTACTTACATAGATGTAATCTTTGATAAGCAATCGCGGCTGGCTGCTCAATATTGCTGACACATACAGCATTTTTGAATGTGTGTGTGTGTGTGTTGTGTGTGTGTGTTTGGAACATACTGTTCTCAATCAATGACTACTGACAGAGTTTTTCAGTGTGTTTCGCTACAGGGGAACTGAAACGCTCAACAGCTGTGTTATGGTGTTCATTGGACAATCTAGACTTTGCAGACAAATATTGACCCAGACTCCTTGATTTAGTTGTTAAACCAGATTTCACCATTGCTTTTCTCTCCGATGTGTGCCCATTCGTTCAATGAAAGGCAGTTGAATGGACATAAAAGATTTCTGAAGTCAGCAAGCAGAACTATCAAAGGACTAAAGGATGTCATGTCTGTCTTCTAACACTACCTCCTCACAACCATCTGTGTTGGAAACCCTATTCAGGGAACACAAATAGAACATGGGGCCAGGACATAAGGAGGAAGGTTTGACTGGATGAACTGTGGAAGCCATCTGCAAACAGTGGTGTCTGCAGGCTTCTGTTGTCCCACTCTGATAGTAAATGTTAGCAGCAGCAGACGAGACATGAGACAGCTGAGGTACTCTACAGAGCATGTTTGGAATGGCCTTGGAGCCTGCTGCTCACACACACACACACACACACACACACACACACACACACACACACACACACACACACAGTTAGGTACCAGGTAGCTTCCTCCTCAGACTGTGATCTCACCCTCCTGCTTGGAGATAAGCGTTTCATCAGGCTGTGTGTGTATGTGTGTGTGTGTGTGTGTATGTACACGTGTGTGTACAAGTGTGCGTGTGTTCTATGTGTGTGTGACCGGGATCTCTCCTCTAGACAAATAATTGAGGTTCCTGTCAATAGTTAAATCGAGGACAGTCTTAACTGAATGAACAATGGAGACAAAATGCAAATATGAACATTTATTAAAATAGTTTGGGGGATGGCCTCGTCTCTGAGGAATTATCCTCGGCGCCAGATGCTGTGATGGCAGGTAGCTATGCGGGGCAGCTGGCATCAATAGAATACCCCCTCAAACCTGCCCCCCTCCCCCACATGGTGAAGTTCCAACTGCAAGTGAGAGAACAAGGGGTAAGTTGACAAATAAATACGTCCCAAGATTTATGCTCATTGGTGAAGAGAAAGGTGATTATTGCACGGATGTGGTGAAGCTGCATTATTGTGTCGTGCTCATAGGCTATAAGGTGAATGGCATTCTGCATGTGCCTAATGTTAAAAGAGGAGGAGAGAGGAGAGACATGACACTATGCTGATAATGATAACGTTTGTAAACACTAACATAATATGATACATTCCAACTATGCCCATAGAAAAGGAAGCAATGTGAATTATATTGTGCTTACTGAATGAAGTTAAAGTAAGCTAGCCATTCAGACCTGCCTTACTGATTGAACCTTCATAGGTTTTTGTCAAGTTTGTGGCCTCAGTCTCTGCTCCTGCCAGGGAGGTAACTTAGAGATGTGGATAGCCCTTACACACACACACACACATACACACACACTCACAATTAATCTGCTTTCTAGTCAATGAGTCAGCCCTTTGATACTGTGTGATGTTGTCCGTGCTGGAGATGCTCAGAGGAAATGGAAAGTGAAGCCTTTTGTCTTGTTGGTGACAAAGGAGCTGGAAAAGCTGGCAATCTCTTCTGGCAATTAGGGTAGATACACTTAACGAAGACATTTCTATTGAATGCGTGTGGCATTTGGATTGAGTGTGTAACTGTTGGGCCCCCGTGTTGAGGGTCAGCGTGGCAGAGGTGATGTTGCCTACCCTCACAACCTGGGGTCGGCCCGTCCTCAGAGATGACATACTTTATGTGCCTATTCATGCCCTGCAACGAATAGAGACAGAAGCAGGCTGGTGTTATTTCAGGCAAGCTGTTGCTATCTAACAGCATCTAGACAGCCATTACTTCTACTTCTGCAGACTGATCCGACTACATTGACATCGTTCAATTTTCCCATCAGACTTTGCATAAACATATATAATATGTGTAAAGCATGCACACTGACTGACAGACTATATGATTACTTATTTATCCATCTCTATGAATCAGACATGATTCTCTCTGATGAAAGCAGAACACACCCTATTGACTCAGATCATTCATGCTTAGGCCGATTCAGGTTTATTCAGACTGCCCATTTGAGGGCTGAGAGAGAACAGAAAAGGGCAGGCTGGTGGTTGAAACAGGACTAGTGGTTGCCATAGTGAGGCAGGTGATTGACAGTTTATGTAATCCGCTCAAC